TTGAACATTTCTCTAAATTCATTAGAAGTCACTGCAGAATTAAATTATTGCAAGAAGTCATTTAATTGTAACACTAATTTATTTAAAATAATTAGTTCATTAAAATGCTTGTGCTCAAAGACTGATACAACTACAATGGACTTACCACTTCTTCTGAATTAAAGAGATTAGGCAAAAATAAATTCATCCAGAAAATTTAAAAATACTATGCTGTTCTTTAATATAAATATGGGTGTGTGTTAATATATCAGGTGATATGTCATGCTAATAGAATAGTTCCATAAATCACTACAGGTAATGATTCAGCATTTCATTCCACATACTGGAACATACTTTTCCAAACTGACTCAGTATGATGATATATACCCCTAGTCTTTTTTAAGAAGGGGGGAAAAAAAACTTCAGAATATTAAAAATATTTATTCAATAACACCATTTAATGAGCATATAATATTTTAAATGCCTTAACGTTATAATCTATATAGTTGCAGTGTATCTGGAACATGTGATGCATCAATGTGCAAGAATGACTAAACAAACTATGTACAGACTCTTGCATATAACCTGAGTGTACAGCATAACTGATTTCCAGTGCTCTGGGTAATTCTATATTCTCATACAAAAATCATTTACTTCGGTGTATTCAATAGCATAGGTTTCAAATGAAAACTAATGTAGCCTATCAAAAGGCAAAATGTATAGACAAATAAGCCGAGAAGTAACAAAACACTTGCCATATCCACTCATAAATTTACTCACGAAACTTTCTTGGTTTCCAGTGGAAATTTCTTCTCTGGAAATGTGCCCCCTGCTCTAAGCAAAAGTCTTCCTCCTTATTACAACATCATAGTAGGATCTTATATAATTTCCATACAATTCTATTGCGTTAAAATGACAAAGTTGAGTTCGACTTTGCTAAAGTAAAAGAAGAGATCACATTTAAGAAAAGAATCTCCTTCCTCCTTTTGATTAAAGTATGACAAGCAGAGAATAGGGTATTTTGAATTCATATCAGGAAGGTGGCTAAAAATGTACAAATTCACACAGAAGAGTAGAATTGGAAGAGACTGAAAAAATTAGCTTAACAATGACAAGTTTTTTAAAAATATGGAAGCACTGGGAGTATATAAATGAGGATGTTCCTAGTATTTTTTCCAAAGAATATTTTGGAATATATTTTGGACATGTTCACAAAAGTGTGTTTTTTAATAAAGTAATAAGAAAATTAATTCACATTGAAGGAACTGCAAAACCATTTTTAAAAATCCTCTGAAATTTATGTGTTGATCCAAGAAAGAGTTACGTTCCCCTCAATTCTCCAGGTCTAGAAACACTCGCAAGTGTGACCAGTGTGGTTCTAGCATCTCTTGTTCTCTGCTACTTTTCCCTATAACACATCAACTCAAATCCTCCATGTACTACAAAACGCAACTTGAAGACTGGAGAAAAAGTTAATTTCTCTATACACAGATTAACAAGCTCTTTTAGGCATAAAATACTAGAAGTATTAAACATAGTAGCAATCAAAGTCTATATTTTATAAGTTAATGAAAATAATAATTTCCTGTTTATAGCAAATTACAAAGTAGATATTCATGTATTTACTTAAATCCCAATCTAAACTTCAACTAAGGGAGGTATCAAATGTTACTATACTGAATAGATGTGTTATTAAATATAAGAAGGTCCAAATAGCCTGGGTCCTTAAGAGATGTAACAGTGAATAACATTATTAAAAGTAAAGTGCATTTGACATTTAATATATTGCTTTGCTAACCTTAAAAGGCAAAGTTATAATGATAAAGATGCTGAAGTTATTACATGGAATTTTATTATAAGTGCTTTATCTAAGAAAAACAGAGATGATCCGCAAAATGAAGACTGCAGTTAGGAGATGACAGAAAGAAATTTCCCTTGGTTATTACAGCTTCACTTAAGGGAAGTTTTGTTTTCCTTGATTCTCATCACAAAAACAGACATTCTGGCATTCTGGCACTTTGGACATAGAAATGTATCATTTGACCTTTAAACTTCTGTTTCATTAATGTAACCACAAGCAACAGAGTCACTGAATGGCATGTTTGCACTTTTATGCCTTTAACACTTAAAGTTGCTTGATAACTGTTATTGCACTATTTGCTTTTATTAAAATCTTTGAGGAATATTTTACATGAAAAATAAATGGATTATATTGCGTAGGGTTTGATAAATGATATCAAGTAATTGAGTAAATTGTTCTCTTGATCACTAGTTTCATGTATTTTGACGGGAGGGGGTGTATGTTTGAAGGATAGAATTGTCTTTTCATTTTCTAATGAATTAGACAATAACATTAAATGTGATTCTGAGTATCTAAAATAAAAACATAAAGTAAAATGTTGTGACATTACTTTTGATGAAAAATTTTCACTCCATGAATATGACTCACACTCTCAGTTCTTAGGCTCTGTCTGTATTGGTCTATAAACAGTAAATACCAGCTGTAAGGGTCAAGAAAAATAACTGACACCGTTTAACATTTTTATTAACTGAGAGAATTTCTTCTATACAAGCTAAATGTTAAATGAGTTTAAAATCTATGGAAAATGTAAAAAATTTGAAAATAAGATACTCCTTAGAGAATTACAGAGTTACTATAAGCAAATTACTTTCAGTAAAAAGTAATCCAGATCAAATTTCTGTTTCACATGATAAGAAATGATTGTTTATTTAAAAAAAAAATAAAAACCTGTAATTGGTTAGAAATATTGAGAAGCGACAAGTTTAAAAGTTTAAAAGTCAAAAGTTCACGAAAAGAAGGTATCACAAAACTCAACCATATCCATATATAGAAATGGAAAAGGTGCAGTGCACACAAAGTAAACAAGGACTGCACCAAACCAACAACACTGGAAAGGTATTGTCCTCACATGTTAGAGAAGCTTCACTGCTGGAAGCAATGAGTGAACTAAACATCTCCTAGAAGCACAAGGTGGGTCCAGCTATTTTAATGAAGCTTAGTATTTATTGGCTTGTTCATTAGGAAACAAATGGCCAAAATATATCATCAAAAAGCAAGCATTCTATTAAACACTTTAGGAGGAAAATGTTAATCCTCATTACAAATAAGCAATATGCTGCTACAGAACATATAGATTGCAGCTCCCATGATATGTGTTTGCAGCCTTTGAAGAGAGTGTTTCATCCTTACCACTGCTGTTCAAACTTCTAAAACAAACTTAATACAAAGAATACAAATATGGGTTTAATTCATATCCTCTGTGGCTGTGCTTTCCAAAGAAGTTCATCACTGTCACCAGCAATGAAAAACTATTTTACTTCGTTAAAACAAAGTAGTTATTTTTGTATACATTCAGTGGCATTCTTGGTTTACAGCAAAAATAACAACATATGTTATAAAAAAACATGTGCTCTTAGTTTATATTAGAAAATGATATTCCACATAAATTTGGACTCATAATTATGTTTAAGAAGGTGTCAGTCATATACCACACCCACATCATTAAAATTAAAATATGTTGCGTGATTCAAGCAGAAACATATCCTACTCTGTTTCACTTTAGACATGCTATACATACTTATTTTGTGCTTCCACACTTACAAGCCAACTACCACCCAGTGGAGAGAAAGATCTTTCAGAGAGATGTGAGGTGTGTGTCAGGTGTGGGTGTCAGGGGGAGAAGGGAGGGTGATGAGAAATGAAGGAAAAGGAGCATTTAGTCTTGTTTAGATCTAAGCACTGCTGATCATCAATTTATATTCTCACCAGAGAGGAAATGTTTCCAGAAGCTCACTCTGCAGTGTTGCTTAGGAGTGAAATCCAGCTATGGATGTTCGTTAGTGACAAACCGTTTCAATGCTCAAGCTTAGGGAAAAGAAGAAAAGAGGGGAGTGTGGTAAAAAGGAGTAAAACTGAAAATGGAAGGCAGGAGGACAGTAGGAAGGGAGGGGAGGAAGAGAGAGAGATCATACATACACATGTGTGAGAGTGACAGAGTGTCGAACAGTGAAAGAGTGTGTGCCTTTTAAAGTAAAAGAAAATCTGAATGTGCAAGTGGTTGTTTGAGCATGTAAGTGCCAATGTGTGTGAGGATTTGAGATAGTATGTGAGGGAGTCTGTTTATGAAAAAGAGATTTGTGAGGGTGAGAAAACGGTACTGGGGCGGGGGTAAGAGGGAACATGCCCCTGTGTGTGTGACAGGGATGGAAAAAGGGGATGGGAAGAGGGGTGGGAAATAGAAAGGGAGTCAAAACAGGGAAGACAAGACACAGAATAGGGACATTAACGAGGAAGAAAAATGGAGAATGTAGAAAAAAGAAGGGTGAAGACTGGAGGAAAAGGGTGTTAAGAGGGTCATAAATGAGAGTGGTGGGGTAAAAGGGAGGCGGAAATGAGGAGAAAATAAATAAAAAATAATAAAGGAGGAAGAGAACACAGAAAAAAGATAAAAAGAGGCAATGGAGGGAAAAGAGAATAACGAAGAAAATGAAAAAAAGAGAAAGAGGAGGGAGAAAAGGAACAAGGGAAGAGGAAAAACAACATTGAAGAGGAAGAAATTGAGTTTAAGTGTTCAAGTGAGAGGGAAAATAAATGGGAGCAAGGAGCTAGCAGTTTGGAAAAGTCGCTTATGCTACAGTAAAATAGAAACAAACCTGATAAACTTGTCAGACTCTCCAAGAGTACCCCATGACAGTAAAACAGAGACCTGTGAACTGAGTTTCAAAGTGGCACCTGCCCCTCCTCCTAAACCTCACACTTCACTCATCCCGGGGCTACTACTAGGCGTTCTGCAAAGTGCTTTACAATCAGGAGTCCAGCTTGCTACCTGCCCCAGTGTAAAGGGGACAGGGTTCCGGGAAGAGTCAGCCCCTAGATTTCTTGAGACGTGATATTTTGATGGTGATCACATCAGCACCATAACTCGGTTTAAAAAGAAGGCAAGGAGATTGAAAACAGAGACAGACTGAGACAAGTACGAAAAGCACGCGGTTTTTCCTACCTAAGCACCGCCGTGTCCCCTTTTCTGACCATCATGTTGTCCACGGCTGCCCAAGGGAAGTCCACGCTCTGTCCAGCCGGGAGGCAGGAGGGTAGCAGGCAGCACAGGCTGAGGAGCACCGCCGCCAGCCACTGGTTCGAGCAACAAGCACCCTGCACCAACAGCATCATGTCCATCCCTGCTAGGGCTGCTCACTCTCCAGCAGCTTTCAGCTCGCACTCCCCCACCCCCTGGTGCTGGCGAGTCTTCCCAGGAACCAGGCGGCGCGCCACAGGATTTTCTTTTCTTTCTTTTTTTTTGGGGGGGGGGTGAGTTTCTTTTTTCTTTTCCCCCTCAGTTGTTGGGTGTTGTTTCTCTCTTTTGCCTCCCTTCCTCCTCCTCTTCGCTTTCCCTCCCTCCCTCCCCTCCCACCCCCTGGCACCACACTACACCTCCTCTTGGTTGCTTTTGGCCGCTTCCGAAGTGTCTAATTCTCGGGCGGCTCGCACACTATCTAGCGAGGAGGCGAGCGCGCCGGCGAGTGAGGGAGGAGGCGCGGCGGCGGCGGAGGCAGGGCAAGCGGCGGCGGCGGCTGCAATCGCAGCAGCAGCAACAGAATCTGCGCCCGGCGCAGCGGCCGCCGCCGGCCCCCGGGCTCGCGCGCGTTGCCAAGCGGCCGTTTCCTTAGCAACCCCGCCCGGGGACTGAGGATGGAGCTGGGAGGGAAGGTGGGGAAAAAAGAAAACTAAAAAAAAAAAATTCAGGAGGAGGTATATTATAATATGCAAACTGAGGGGAAAAGAGAGATGCATCGTATACTGAACGCTTTCTTTTCGGTCGTATGCACTAGTGTGATGATTTGCTAGAAAAGTCTCTGTATCAGGGCTGGGATGAGGAGGGCAAAGGGGCACTTTTCCTCTCCGGTGTGTTTTACCTCTCCTGGCACTGTAAGTTTAAAGTCCTCCAAGTTGTGGTCGGCGCCATCATGATGCGAACGACTGTGAGTTTTTACCTCACAGCAGCAGGCATGCTTCAGTTAACAGGCGGCCTACCAGTTCACTCTCTACCCCTCTTCGGGAATAAGCAGACATGGGCGGCTGATTTTGCGGGGGGGGTGGCCACGAGGGGATGCACGGCCTTGCGGTAGAGCAGCTTCTAAGGCTGTCGCGTCAGTCACTATGGATTGGAGGACGCCCGCCCTCCCCCGTGCATGTTGTTGGCACTAAGTTGTTTGTGGG